CATTATTTTAAAAAATAAATAAAAATAAAATATTATAGTTTATTGTTCTGTCCCACCTTCACCGCTCCTTAACAGACGACAGGCAAACAAACTTAAAAGGAACTTTCTTTATCAGTTCTCGGCTCAGACTGGCTGCGAGCCCAAAAATAACATAAATACAAGTCACCGACAAGAATGCAAAACAAAACTCTTACAAGCAATGCACTTCTTCCAAAGTCTCCACGAATCAGGGTTTACAGGAAGCACCAAAGCACTTATCCAAGTGTATCTTCCATAAATCACGATTAATAATCAAGCAATGTTGTACCAAACAAGGAACACACAAAGGAACGTATGTTGACTCCTGCGACTAGGGCGTGGCAGCACCCGTCCTTTTATCTCCAAACCTGCCTCTCACAAGCCCCAGCTGCATAATGAATCTTGTATCCCGAAAAGACTCATAGCCGACATCTGCTGAGTCACAACAGGAAAGGGGGGATGTAATGAGGAATCCTGAAGGAAAAGTTATGACCTGGTTTGTTGGCATTGTTGGTTGGATGAAACCCAGGCATGGTGGCTTGTTATGGATCAATTGAGACATGAAGTCTACTCATTGTGGCTCAGGTGATGAACTAAGGCTAGGCAAAACAGGACTACTGGTGAGACATGAGGTTGTGGTCTCTCTATTTTGCCTTCTAAGAAGAACCATCATCTTCAGACCTTCACTGGTGGTGCTGAGAATACAATACTCTTCAAAAGCCTGGAAGGACCTTTGAAGAGTTGATGGCCCTCTATCTGAAAGGGCTTCTTGAAGACTCCAGAACCTTTGCTCTACAGGTTTACCATATCTTGTTTCTCTTTATTGTGTTCTCTCTATTTTGCCTTTTAAGAAGAACCTTCTTCATCATCTTCAGACCTTCACTGGTGGTGCTGAGAATACAAGAGGTCTTCAAAAGCCTGGAAGGACCTTTGAAGAGTTGATGGCCCTCTATCTAAAAGGGCTTCTTGAAGACTCCAGAACTTTTGCTCTACAGGTTTACAGTATCTTGTTTCTCACAGAAGTTCACACACAAACAGGTTTCACCAGGTACGATACAAATCTCCCTGTTGCACTACATTTTAGGATTAACCTTGGCTTATCATCCTGGGCAAGCAGAGGTGAACTGACTCCCCAGGTTAAGTCCATCCTCATCCTAACTCTGCAACATTTTTATGGTTTACATTCAAACTCAGATTTACATATATCATTTCTGAACACCCTCTGCATCTTAAATCATGTTTATCGCAAGCCATAAAGACGAATAAACAACTCCAACAGGATGTCTTCAGGGGCTCACAGATTTAATTCTGCCTTAATTGTGTTTAATCTTATTTTGCTAATAACCCCCCCCACACACACACACACTTTCTTGTATTTTTCCCTACCTTTCTTTCTCGTTACCTGGATTTAAGCCCAGGAAAGGAATTTCCTGCCAATTTCTTTCAAAGGGGAAATTCACTTTTG